CCACAGTGACTGGTGATCAAACAAGTTCATGTCAAGCCCTGATTGTTTTGTATCCTTTTTCCTTTTGTTCAAATTTGAAAATAAGTTATTAATTGAATTATAAATTGAATTAAATTGCAAAAGATTTTTTAACAAATCATTAAAATGACAAAGCGCAAATAAATTAAAATAAATAATAAAATAAAAATAACAAAAAGAACTTAATTTACCATAATAAATAGGTCCATAAGACAAAAATATTTACTGAATCTCTTAATTAAAAACACACACACAGAAGAACTGCTCCACTAAAAATCCCATCAAAGAGCAAACACGCGAAACCACACAGCAGGAGCTGGCTAAAATTGCTCCACACACAGAGCAGCCTGACACACTTAAACACAGACCACATTTCCCAGCATGCTCCTCCCCATGACATCTCAATCTAAGTGTGGAAGTGAGGCAGGTCAGTTGGCAGAAGCTCGGCAGCCTGCAGTCTAAAACCTGCCACCATCCAACGATAATCCTCATCCCTGCTCCACTTTATATGTTAGATTGAGAGATCAACAAAGTATTACTTCCTGCATTATGAAAAACCTTACGCCGAATTACCTTAAATAACTTTCGCCTTTTGACTAATCAAATATCTTCTTCTCGCCTTAGGAAGAGCTCTATGTCTCTCTAATGGATTTTTGAGTCACCTTTCCTTGCATTACAACTTGGCAATGAAACAATGTCAACTGATTATTGATTAAGAACGTACTAAGTATGCAAGAAGATACAGATCTATGAAAGATAGACTCTACGGTGAACCAGAATCAAGCTGGTTGTTTGGTACGGATGTATATGATGAGTTGTTTTCTGAACGCAAATAAAACCTAGTCACATTTCACAGTGCGTTTTCCTACCCATGCTGTGTTTCTGTCTATTTGTGTCCGGGTATATCAGGACAGCTATTATGTAAGATTGCAGTTATGAGGGCATCTGTTAAGCTGACGACTGCTAAAACTTCTTCAACATTTATCAATTTGATGTACACCACTGTGAATAACATAAAGCAATACACGCGGAGATATGCAGCTTTAGTTCATCCACTTAAAAACAGCAGAGTCAGTGAAAAGGTTGATAGCTTTGCTAACTTGCAGACTGAGACCTAAATATGTCAATACATTAAATAAAACATAGTAAAATAATAGATGGTCAAACTGATTAATTGTTTACTAACATCTGATTAAAATATTAAATAATTATAATATAAAATACGGACTCAAAGGAACAGCTTAACAGGAACTACAATCCATATATAATTATTAATTATCATTAAGAAAAAAATTGGGGATTACATACTTAAGAAGGCCACATACACACTGTTAGTTTCAGGAGTAATAACTGCACTTAAAATTAACCAAAGTATAACTTTCAGGTGTTTTGCATGTGTATTGATATTAATATTACAGCACTAACATCAATTTGTGATGCAATTTGAACAAATTAACAAACAAATGGTGCCACAAAACTAGATTTTCCCCCCTTTTGAAGCACCAATAAAGCTGTCAGCCAATTAGACTGCCTAATGCAAACACCCTAGTGTAGACACTAACTAAACATTGTAATGTGAAACAGGACAATAGACGAACATCAAGCCATAACTATAACTACACTTGCAATTGCTATAGTGCAACCAAATTGGCATCCATTTTGTATTACAAAGTAGCTAGTTTGTGTTGCTGTCCAGTGGACGGATGTTAATATTACGGTATCTTGACACTGACATGTATTGTAAAACATTTAGTCTTTTATCAGAAGGAGGTGACACATTTTTCCTCAATAAATCGTAATTTAAAAGATTTGCTCAAGTAACAAATCTTTTTTTTAAACCGGTGGTCCTCAGCCATAACAATTGGTACTAGGTCGAACAAGAAATCATTAATTATTTCAGTTTTATTTATTATCTGAGTCTGAACAATCGTTTATTTTGTAAAATCTTTTATTTTGAAAAATGACCGTATTCTCTCGCTTACATTTCAGTCACTTGAGCGCCCAAATTTAACCGACAATAAGTAAGAAACAGACGTCTTTAAAAAGTTTCTTTGCGAAGAGGAAAAGGTTCAGTGAAGGACCTACGAACTAACAAGCAATAAATCTGCAACCCATTTGTCAACAAATTAGATAAACTGCTGAAGTTCGCAAATGACGGCAGCTTTTTAGGGGCCGTTCGCATATCGAGTCTTTTCTAGAGTTTGCGCAAGTTCGTTATTTCCAATGGAGGTGTGCATGAGTGGCATGACGCGTTCGCGCCTTCCAGATGCACCCAGTTGAATGAATGCCACAAGCTCACTGCGAATATGGAATATACACATTTCGGTCGACTAATTATCCCAGACAAACACAGCACACACAAACACCGTTTACTGAGTGTAACTACAGATACAGGGACACTGGAGCGTTTCAAATCCGTGATTCATCAGCGAATTGCTTGTATGTCAGCTTATAGACAAACCAGCTAATCGACGTGATGTTTTATAAACAGATTTCGGGAGGAGCACGATCTGTCTTTGACGAGGCTAATTCATCACACACACAATCATTCTATTATCCAATCAGCTCAAGAGCAAAGCATCAAGAGCAAACCCCCATAAATAGTCAAACACGTCATACCTTCGTTTTCTCTCGACTTCAGCGTCCCTCCACCACCCCAACTCCACACTATTAAACCAGATACCTATTTAAATCTGAGGGGGGAGCGTTCTAGAGCCGGGCTAGACACTGTGCTCGGACCCTATCTCTCTTTATCCCGATAAGGGGAATAACACGAGTTAGGGTGTCTTCCCAATCTCCGAGCCCTCTCCCAGCACGGCAAATACGCATATTCTATTCAGTCAAATATCTGTGAGTGTGAACTCGTGAAGTGACTTTGAAACACTCCAGTGTCGCTCTATCTGTGGTTACACTCAGTAAACAGCGGTGAGTTCGGTGAACTTATGACCTTCATGGCCGATCACAGTCATTTCTGTTGAACACAATGGCAAATCAGCGCTGTTTAGGAACATGCTCAGTAGCACTCAAATGTCAGCGGGAAATGGACGTTTTTAAAACTTCAGTATTGATTGGTACCGAATTTCAGTATCGTGACAACCCTAGTCCAGGGGTACGTTTGTTCCTTCTCAAAATTGTAGTCCTGGGCACATATTTCCAATGAGCCTGGGTTGGCATATACAGTTGTTCTGCAAAATGCTGTTTGTGAAATATTGCCATATTAATAGAAATTTGCACGTTTAGAAGTCTTGTGGGAGACTAAAAAAAGTTATCTATGCAGATTTTGCTCATTTTCAAGTTGGTCTGAAAGATTTAACACCTGAATTGACTGCACCTGTTATGATGAGTCAAAATGCATTCAGTCTGACTCTGAAAAGAGAAAATGACTGTCAATGAAAACACTGGAAACACCAAAATAAAGTGCAGTTTGTATGATAATCAATTTTACATAACATTAGTACTAGTACATTTCTACTAGTTCACATTCTAAAATATAGAATGTTCAATCCAATAAGCATTTAATAATACAAAAAAGATGGTTTAGTACAGTATGTACCTTGAATACGAAGAGATGGTTTGGTACATTTTTGGCACAGAAATATATACAGTTGAAGTCAGAATTATTAGCCCCCCTTTGAAATAAATTTTTTACATTTCCCAAATGATGTTTAACAGAGCAAGGAAATGTTCACAGTATGTCTAATTATATACTTTTTCTTCTGGATAAAGTCTCATTTGTTTTAAATGTTTTAATATATATGTATATATAAATATATACATATACACACACAATGTACTTAGGGATTAAAACATGTTATAAAGGAGCTGCGACACTAAATTACATGCCTGAGGTAAATATGATGCCACATTATATTTCGAGAGATTACAGCATATGAAACATGAGATAATCATTCGTTCATTTCATTCTTTTACTACTTCTAAAAGAGGAAAGAATTATCATGAAAAAATGCAGCAAACTGTCGAATCACAGTATCCTTATGAAATCATCTGACTTTGAAAGATGAGACTTTGTTTATCGAAAGTATCAAAACACAAAGCTTCTTGCGAGAGATGACTGATATATTTCAGTTGTATTCAAGCATCAGCTGAAAAAAATTTGAGTTCAATTTAGAGTTGTTAAAACCTACGCCTGTATCACACCGGAACTTTCAAATTCATTTCCATATGAGCTTAAAACAACACTGTATTTGTTCAGTACACATGCATACTAATCCAGAAACTCTGTACGGACTTTTTACAATTACACACATTTGGTGCTAAATTTACTTCACCTCTAACATTTACCCCAAGCTTACCCCAGTGACTCAACAATTACAATATAAAGCAGTTTAATCTCACACAGGATTGTCCGCCCACTACGAACAAAGGCACTTACATAACACAAGTCTTTAGGTACAAGACAGGCCATTTGATCTCCTTATCAATGCAACATGAAATTCAACACATCTCCTTTACCATTTCACACAGGATATACAGCATGCTAACTAGTATCCTTCCTGTCTGTTATTAATGCAGTCGTCATTAGCAATAGCAGCATGCAGCAGGTGGGTTAATTTTAGCAGCAGCATCCTTACGTAGTATTGCGCTTCCTGTAGGATTAATCTCGAACAGTAAGATGGACTGGCCGACTGACTACATGCACTGACCCTGAATGACGCACTTCTAAATACAGCTGCCAAAGTGCCTGCTCATATAAAACCTTAGCAAAGATGAGGAATGACATGAAGCTCTGCCATTAAAGCAGCAAGGCATGTTATATGAGGCTATAATATATGGCGGATGCAAACTCCTATTTAAATTTGGTGGAGGGAAACTGTGATACGGCTAACCTTGTTCAGCATGTTTGGTTCGAATGGATGAATCTGCAGATGAATGCCAGATGCCACACCCAAGAAGATATTATATGTCTTTCTCTTGCAAATCTATACAATAATAATTGTTTTCTAATATGTATAAACGCATACCTTGAAAGTGCTGCAGTAACTCTTCATGAAGGATCCACTGAAATAAAAAAACAACAAAACAAATGTAACTACAAGAGAAATAGGTCTATATATTATATAATGCATATGAGGTTTGAATATCCTCAAGGAATCTATGGCAAGTAGAAACACTCCTGAGACATGTTTGAGTTTGTCTGACCTATGATCATAGACAAGTAATTCATAATCCAATCTTATTACATTCACTTCCCGTGATCACTTAGAGCAGGACGTATTACCAAATATTAAGACTATTCAACCATTCAGAGTCAGACTTTTCTACTGTGTGGGTTGTTATAACACTTAGGAATTGAAGTAATTTTGGTGTCACTTCATTTTGATGGTTCGTTTAACGCATTTTGTTGAATTTAAGTTACATTGCATCTACATGCCAACAAACTCTCGTTAGATTATTAGTAGACTTAGGTTGAGGTTAGTGTAAGTTGACAGCAGATAGTCTACTAATCCTCAAATGGAAATTAATAGGCCTGTAGTTGCAATGCAACTTTTAGTCAACAAAATGTGCAATAGGGACCATAAAAATAATGCCATACCATAATATTTAGTGATTATAATAATTTTCCATTCAAGCTGATGCTGATACAAGGAGAGTTAAAGGCTGAGTAATAAAATAAAAAAAACATTATATGTTGATTTAAGTAACTAATAATAATCTGCACACAGAATTCTGCAGAGGTTTAGCACATCATTGATTCTGTTTATTCACTGCACTCGTGTAAATGTGTGTAAATGTATATTTATTCCGTTTTTAAAATTAATTTTAGTATTATTATTGACTAATATGAAATGTTTATACGTTTTACAATACAGTTTGTAAAGTAATATTTTCTGTCTCAGAGAATCTAATTGGATTTGCATTGTAAACATTAAATAAAAGTTTAAAAGGAAAAAAAGTTGTTGTTTTTTACTGTTACCCTGATGAAGGCAGCTCTCTGCCGAAATGCGTAGTTTTTTTTAAAGATTAGCCATGTGAAAAAAGGTTTTTAAATATTTTTTTCACATCTTTCGAGTGCCTTGGACTGATTTTTAATGTTTGTTCTGATGAATCCCTTGCTCAAAGAGCACCGACAAGTTATTTGAGCTACCCTAGAGCACTTTTGTTTGATTTTGTATTTTTATATATATATATATATTTTTATATATATATATATATATATATATATATATATATATATATATATATATATATATATATATATATATATATATATATATATATATATATATATATATATATATATATATATGGTTTTAGTTATGATACTCCCCAAACCATTCTGCATGAATATACAGATTTATTATTATTGCTATTATTATTATTATTTTTTTTCTTCAAAATTCTGCGCAGAAATAGCAAACAAGTCCGCAGATTCTGTCTGGCCCTACCAATCACCAAGCAATATTTAGTTTAGTGTGTATTTGTGCTGGTACCATGATATCTCTAAATCTCTCAAACCAAAATGCTTTTAATAATCAGTCCAGACTCGAAGATAATGTTTTCTAGTAAGTGATTTACTGTGAACCAAAAAACATATTAAATGAATAAAACTGATCAACAAATATTGAAGTTAATTATAAAAATATTGTATTTATTCTGTATTTATTAAAAAATAATTACCGATTTAAATTAAAACTATTAATAAAACATAACACACGTTAACAGGACTTTTAATAAATAAATAAATAAACAAATGAATGAATAACTCACCCTGGAGGTAAACAACTGGTTGCAATGTCGTAGTTGAAAAAGGCGCCATCCAGTGGCGAACGACTACACACGCCAGCTTTGTTTACAACACAAATTAAAGGTGCGCACTTCACTAATAACCCCAAATATCTGGGAAGTAAGAGGGTGATAGCGGGTATAAACCTTATATCTTTATCTCACGGAACAACAAAGATACAGATATTAAAGTAAGGAGCGCAGAACCACTGTTACATAAACTCAGTCAAGTAATATAATGAATAGGCATTATCAGCCAAGCCTCTCATGCAAATCTGAGGTTATTTGTAAGTCAGGACAGCAAAAAATATTTGAATAGTCGACTGATTTCTGTCTGGAAACTTTGTATGTTTTAACTAGTGGGAAAAAAAACAAGCGAGCTCACCTGTAAGATGCTATTCTGACTGTCTGGTCGTGATGAAAACACATTACATGGGTGAGGGCAAAGCACACTGGGTTGTAAATAAGAACTGCGTAACATCCTCTCTTTGCCCCGCCAAGTAGGCTAGGCCACACACACACGCACGCACGCACACCTTTGTCGCAGCACAAAACCCTCCTCCTGCCCGCAAACCCCACCTCGACTTGCGTTTTCTAAGAATCACCTGTATATGTAACTATGATGATTATTTTCAAGAAAACTAGTCAATGCATTCATGGAGCATCTTAATGGACATGATGACTGACAGCATCCTTAAAACGCAGAATTTGAACATCAGCATATAGTGGCTCAAAATCATCTACATATCGACATATTTATCATATTTATTATTGATTTAAGACGAGGTTTATCAACCTGCCACATCATAAAACAGCCTGTTTGTCAATTACAGCAAGGAATTCAGAATAACGCAACGCCCAGTGTGAAGGACTTCGCAAGTTTACTCTCTAGAAAACACCTCACTAACCTGAACGCAGTTGTAGTCGAGTTTTTCAATCTTTTCGCGACATCAAACGACGGATGATATTGGCTCGAACTCCAGTTTTCAATTGTAAAGCGTCTTGTTGCCGAGCACACAGAATTTTCCACAGCGCCACAGGCGAGGCTCCGCCCACCTCACACACCCCCGTTTTCTGATTGGCTGTCCGTCCAGAACGCAGAATGTCGTCAAAAGAATCACATGCTTTTGACGCATGTTTACAAACACTCGAGCGAATCACATGTCGCAGAGACATATTGACATAATTCACGACTGGTGGGTAATTGGGATTTTTTTCAACACAGGCATTTTCCTATTTATCTCTGTGCAGCATTTCGGACTGAATCGTGCCGCTTCAGAAGTCTGAGTGTCCCGTCATCGACTGAGCTCACACTGTGCCTCCTGCAGGAAAAAGGCGTTTCCACTCTGATTGTGGAAGTCGTACTGGCTGCAGACATGCTGAGGTTTACCCTTTCTCATCTAAACTAATTTTGACGATTTGTTTTTGTCCTTATCTAACAGGAAATACACTAAATAGAGAAGTAGCACAAGATGTGCAACTTAGAGCTACAAAGGGAACTGTGTGTGCTCAGAAAAATAAGAGCTAGAGCAAGAAGGGGGAGATTTATTTCCCATGTTCGTTCGTTCACACGTCCGTCCATTCATTCATTCATTCATTCATTCATTCATTCATTCATTCATTCATTCATTCATTCATTCATTCATTCATTCATATCATAGCCCTACAAATACAAACCAGTCACCCCTGTGGGTTTGTGGCCTATATATAGTTTAAGTCAAAATTATTAGTCCTGATGAGAAATTTTTGTTCTCTTTAAAATATTTCCCAAGTGAAATTGAACAGATCAAGAACCTTTTCAGTTTTTCCATGATATATTTTTCAAATATAATTCTGGAGTAAGTCTCATTTGTTTTAGTTTGGCTGGAATAAAGCAGTTTTATTTATTTTTTAAAATAATTTTTAAGTTAATGTTACTAGTTATAATGTTATCATTATCTATAAAACAAGATTTTGTTGTCCAAAATCTTATCTCAGTTAAACAATACGTGGTGTATATATATATATATATATATATATATATATATATATATATATATATATATATATCAGTTGGCGTTTCTGTGTGGAGTTTGCATGTTCTCCCTGCATTCGCGTGGGTTTCCTCCGGGTGCTCCGGTTTCCTCTACAGTCCAAAGACATGCGGTAGAGGTGAAGGTGAAGGGTAGGCTATATTGTCCATAGTGTATGAATGTGTGTGAATGTTTCCCAGAGATGGGTTGCGGCTGGAAGGGCATCCGCTGCGTAAAAATGTGCTGCATAAGTTGGCAGTTTATTCTGCTGTGGCCACACTGGATTAATAAAGAAAATAAATAAATGAATGAATGAATATATATATATATATATATATATATATATATATATATATATATATATATATATATATATATATTTATAATATATATTTATATATATATAGCCTATATATGTATAATATATCCATTTCTCCGTGAATACGCATTTTGGTGCATTTAAACAAATATATTTATTAAAATAATATTTTAGTCACCAAACATATTAAGAAGTTGATAGATAATACAATTAAATTCAAGCTAAATATTTCAATTACTAAATATTGCAAATTTTTGTTTTAATTTTTTGCTTTTCTTGATTTTCCTCTTTTTAAAAAAATTGTATTTAATATTTTTCTCTAACATAAATTTGAGTTTACAAGTTTTTGGACTGTTATCGTAATATATATAGGATCTTGCCCTTCACAGTCCTTCAACATGCATAGACTAATTTAAACTTTTAATAAAATAAAACTAAATAAAGTGTTTTTAAAATAAAGCTGGCGACATGGTGGCGCAGTGGGTAGCATGATCGCCTCACAGCAAAAAGGTTGCTGGTTTGAGCCTCGGCTGGCTTAGTTGGCATTTCTGTGTGGAATTTGCATGTTCTCCCTATGTTCACGTGGGCCACTCCGGTTTCCCCCACAAGTCCAAAGACATATGGTATAGGTGAATTGGGTAGGCTAAACTGTCTGCAGCATATGTGTGTAAATGGAAGTGTGTTTGCCAGTGATGGGCTGCGGCTGAAAGGGCATCCACTGTGTAAAATATATGCTGGATAAGTTGGCGGTTCATTCTGCTGTGGCGACCCTGGATTAATAAAGGACTAAGCCGAAAAGAAAATGATTGAATAAATAAAATAACGCTAAAAATATTATTTAATAATATTATTCAAACGTTGATTTAATTAAATAAAATAAAACTTTACTGTCTTAGCATTTGCATTGTTACTGTCTTATCATCTGCACCCACCCAAGGCTATGTATAGTCATTGTTATTACAGCAGAGGGCGACATTAGTCTAAGAATAACCTCCCCATAGGTCACACGGCTCAGTTAGCATTCTTTATCCATGATGCAAGTGTTATGATTTTACACTATGTCTGCTTGCATTCATTCATAGTTCTAAACCCAACACAAGTAAAACTTTAGGCTATAGTGGTCCAAGTAACTCTTATTTTTCTGTTTTTCATAACTTTTTATGCCTATAGAGCAGATTAATCAAAAATGCTACAGATAAAATTGTAATGACTGTGCCAAGACTGTTTAACTGCAACGCATAAACACCCTATGCATAATAACTCTACAGCCAATATCTAGAGAAACACACAGCTGTATGATTACAATAGACTGGAATGTTCAGAGTTGAGCTGAGATGACGCCTGCATTGGGAGCATTGTCGTGGAGGACAGGAAATGAAATTGCTTAAGCGCACAGTGCATCATTGCTGGAAAGAACGAGACATGCTTTCCAGATTCTGCATGGTCTCCATCAGACTTTGTGGCCTTGAAAAGAAAACTGATGACTCCCCTGTGCGAAGTGTTAACACAGAACAATAATAGTATTCATTTTATTTTCATCTGCTGTCCTGATGCTTCTTGTATAACTTTTTTGGCACTTTCGAATATACAAAATGTTTTAAGCTGAGACATAAAAAACATATAAGAAAATGTGAGGTTTATTAAGATTTGTCTGTCTATACCGCAGAAAGAAAACAGAAAGCAGCATAATCTGCAATGGTTGTAATGATTATAATGTGAATTTTAATTGATTTTAATATAAATATCGTTGTCTCCACTACTAACTGATTGCCGGCAGCTAGCTCCCTGCAACTCTCACTTGGTCGCCCACTGAAGCTACAGTAAGCAGGGCTGGGGAAGGTTACAGTAAAATGTCTGCTGCTCTGAAAGTTCCAAAAAGCATAGTGGCCTCCATCACCCGTAAGATGTTCAGAACCACCAGGACTCTTCCTAGTGCTGGCTGGCCATCTAAGATGAGTGATCAGGGGTAGAAGGGCCTTAGTTAGTGAGGTAATTAATATCCCTATGGTCACTCTGTCTGACCTCCAGCCTTCTTCTGTGGAGAGAGGAGAACCTTTCAGAAGGACAACCATCTGTGCAGCAATCTGCCAATCAGGCCTGTATGGTAGAGTGGCCAGTCAGAAGCCACGCCCCGCCTGGAATTTGCCAAAAGGCATCTGAAGGACTCTCAGACCGTAAGAAACAAAATTCTCTGCTCTGATGAGACTAAAATTGAACCCTTTGGAGTGAATGCCAGGCTTTACGTTTGGAGAAAAGCAGGCACCGCTCATCACCAGGCTAATACCAGGATAGAGGGAAAGATGAATGCAGTAATGTACAGAGACATCCTGAATGAAAACCTGCTTCAGAGAGCTCTTGACCTCAGTGACGGTTCATCTTCCAGCAGGACAATGACCCAAAGCACACCACCAAAATATCAATGGAGTGGCTTCACAACAACTCTGTGAATGTCTTTAAGTGGCCCAGCCAGAGCCCAGAGCTAAATCCTATTGAACATCTCTGGAGTGATCTGAAAATGGCTCTACACTGTCACTTCCCATCCAACCTGATAGAGCTTGAGAGGTGCTGCAAAGAGGAATGGGCAAAAATTCCCAAAGACAGGTGTGCCAAACTTGTGGAATCATATAAAAAAGCTGTAATTGCTGCCAAAGGTGCATCAAAAAAGTATTGAAAGGCTGTGTACTTATGTAAATGTGATTTTTCAGCTTTTTTTTTTACAATTTCCAAAAAATCATTTTTTTAGCATTTTCAATATGGGCTATTGTGTGTAGAATTTTGAGGAAATTAATGAATTTAATCCATTTTGGAAAAAGGCTGTAACAAAAAATGTGGAAAAAGTGAAGCGCTACAAATACTTTCGAGATGCACTGCAGGTCCAGCATACATATATAAGATTAAACAACTAGATCATACCTTCTGTTCTCTTCTTTTTATTAAATGCCAAAAGTTGCATCTGAGCTGCTCTTAGACAAGAAAATCACGTGCACAATATAAGTATAAATGACGCAATCAACTGTATTGCGCTTGTGCGTGGCTCATTAAATACTGACCAATAGCTCTGATTGGTCAATCATCAGTGTTTATAAGTCATAAATTACCATAAACAAAGAATTCTAATATTTAATTTGCATGATAAGTTTACATTACACAAATTGTTGTTAATCTAAAGAGGATGATAAAGGGGGATTTACAAAAGTGATGTTTTTTGTAGCATTTAACCATTACAATTCAGCATTAGTATGTTTTAAAAGCATATTTCACTACGAAATGACAATTTACTCACTATTTATTCCCACTCAAATGGTTTCAAACCTTTATGAGTTTATTTATTCTGTTGAACACTAAAGAAAGTATTTTGAAGAAAGCTTAAATCCTGTAACTATTGACTTCTTTTGAAGGACAAACAATAGAAGTCAATGGTTACAGGTGTCCAACTTTCTTTAAAATATCTTATTATTTATTTTATCTTATCTTTGGGTTCAACAGAAAAAAAGAAAGAAAACAGGTCTGGAACAAGAAAAAGAAGTGTAAACAATGACAGAACAGAATGTTCAGTTTTGGGTGAATATCCCTTTAAGCCAGTTGCATTTACCCTTCTAATATAGAAAATGTCCCATATAAATATAAGGCACGTATTTATATTGTAATTAAACATCAGGTTTAATAACTACACCACTTCTGATGAGTACTATAAATAGAGAAGCATTCTCGTTTACTTCCTTTGATATGCTGATGTAATTTGGCTGTGTTGATTTGTCATGCATGTTCCAAACAACAGGTGCAAACACTGCACGTGTGGGAAAATGTGATAGCATGCCCTTTAAAGCTACAGTTAAATGTTATGATCCAGTAATATTCTTTAACCAGAGGAAATCACACTGTCATATGGCAGGGATATATAGACCTGTCCACACCCAGACTCGCGCACACACACACACAAAACTCATCACAGAATCCTTGAAACGACCTCAATCAAGCCTGCTGAGGAGAACTTCACGAGGCTCTTAAAGCTGCTGATTGTATAGTTAGAAATAAATGAATGCTTGTGAAAGTGTGGCTTCCAGCGTTGGCAACTTGACACTATATGTCTGCCCACAGTGTGTGTTGTTTTTGTGTATGTGTGTGCATGTATGAGCGCCGCTAATAAAACTGAGCAGTATCATATTTTACACACGATGAAATTAAACCCTGAGGCGCGGCCACCAGGTGTCAGAAAGTGTGTGTCTGTTGAGAGATCATTCTGGCTCGGACCGCTTGGAATGTGTGTAGTTTAAAATGTGTTACGGACACACCCTTTAGGTCAGACTTGGGAGCAGCACATGGCGGTGTCAAGCGCTCATGCAAAGATGGATGAAAATGTGCAAACGCCTTACATGCGTAAGCAGTGACATCCTTCACGCCGCTTTGTCTGTCTTTGGATGTTTATGTCATGTATGTGCTCACCCAGAGGCATATTTCAACGCCTATAGAGTTTGCTTTTCCATGTCTTTAAAGGAATCATGTACTCAAAAATGAACAGTTAGTTAGTTTATACTAG